CATGATGAAGAATGGAGTAGGCGTCCTTCGGTCGTTAATGAAGATTTGGTGCAGAAAGTGGACGAAAAGGTGAAAGAAAACAGACGCTTTACAATTTCATCATTGTGCGACTACTTTCCTCAATGTTCTCGTAGTGTTTTGTATCACATTGTGACCGAGAACTTGAATTACCGGAAATTGTGTTCACGTTGGGTTCCGAAAATGTTGACGGATTTGCACAAAACCCAACGTTTAGGCAGTGCATTGACTTTCCTTGAGCAGTACCACAATGAAGGTGAAGATTTTTAGACAAAATTGTTACTGGTGACGAAACATGGGTGGCCTACGTCACACCAGAATCGAAACAACAGTCCATGGAATGGCGACATTCATCATCACCCAAAACAGTGAAGTTTAAGCAAACAATTTCTGCCCGGAAAATCATGTGCACAGTTTTTTGGGACAGAAAAGGAGGATTGCTAGTGGAGTTTCAGCCTCGTAATGAGACAATCAATGCAGCATCTTATTGTGAGACATTGAACAATCTGCGCCGTGCAATCCAAAACAAAAGACGTGGCAAGTTGAGTAAGGGTATTGTTTTGCTGCATGACAATGCCCGTCCACATGTGGCTAATCGGACCAAAGATCTCATAAAATCTTTTAAATGGGAAACTCTAGATCATCCTCCATACAGCCCTGATCTGGCGCCCAGTGACTACCATTTATTCCTGCACTTGAAGAAACACCTGGGCGGTCAGCGTCTTCAAGACGATAACGAAGTCAAAACAGTTGTGATACAGTGGTTAACCAGTCAGGCGGCAGAATTTTATGAGGAGGGTATTGAAAAACTGGTGCCACGTTATGACAAGTGCCTCAATATTTACGGAAATTATGTAGAAAAGTAGATTAAGGTACAGGCTTTCATGTAAAAATAAAATTATTGCGATATCTTTGCACGTTTTTTTTTTTAATTCCAAAACGGTACTTACTTAAAAAAACATGCCTCGTATTCGGAAACTGTACTGTAAATTATTATATTAAAATAAAAATATTCTGAAAGTCATAGCCATAGTTTTTAAAATAACATTTTTTTTTAAATATGTTTTATTTAAATTAATCAATTTGGAATTTGGACAAGGTGTCTTAGCTCATATACTTCCTTCTTTTTCAGGGAAAATAATATTATCAGTTAAAATATTTGCACTGTTTATATTAAATCGGTATATAAATAATATTAACTAAAAATTATCCAAAAAAAAAATTCTAAATTAATTTTACTATACCAAATGGTAGAATTTTTTGAAGATACACCCTGTACGGAAGTTAACGAAATATACTTTTAACGTCGTCTACTTCTAGTTTCTGTAATTTCAGTTAATGGAAACAATCGTGATGATTTCCAGTCCGTATATTTAACTGTTTAAAATAAAGCTACAGCAGCCCAGCATCGTAACTGTTAAATGAGGCCAATGCTGACCTGCCCTTTATTAAAATTGTTTAACTAAATGAAAAATTTAAACCCTACAATTACCCTAGAAAAGTTATATCCTTGCAAATCTATATAGTTTGCCAATTAAGTTTTATTTCACCAAAGACAGAAATTTATCTTTGTAAAATACTAAAAATAAAACAGTTCTAATATACAGGCAGAAGTTTGCCTAATATTTATGCAGCACTTTACACACAGAACATTGAAAGAATATACCTATAGTCTTACAATGAGTCCATAACAGTGACAGTTGTTATTTGTCATTTTAATTCACGGGTAAATTGTATTTTCTGTCATTTTTTGGATGTCGTTTGTCGAAATCATAGATTTAGTAAGAACAGATATCACATTATGCATTTAACCCGATCAAACAATCGGAGGTTGACTTGTTGACTACGTACTGTAAAAACCAACTGAGATAGAGAAAGCGACATTGCCACATCTCAAATTTGCGCCTATCTACTTAGTTTGATTTGCAGAAAAGGTGACTTTAAAACCTCCACCGGATATCAATAAATCTCAATTTCTTAATTAAATTAATAGTTTATTTTTAAAGAAGCATGCGTAATAATATGTTATTAACCAGAGGATATATGCGTTACTATTAAAGGACGTGTTTACTGTTTAATGTGCTGAAACGTCTAGAACTATTGGCAACGTCGCTGCTAGTCTTCCAGAATGAAATGGGCCGTCCGTCCCACCACCCCTCGCGACGGCCTTTGGTCCGTTATAGCGTACTACGTTTAGCTTACGGTGTGTTTGAAGTCGGAATCAAGTCCGAAGGGAACTTTTCAGTGGTTTTCAGTAGTTTTTGTTTTTGTTTAGCATACTTTTGAATCTGCGAATTTTCAATATGGTACGACAGTGTCAAATGTGTGGAAAAATAAGCTCAAATTACCCGAATTTGTCTTTTCACAGGTAGGTGTATTGTTTCCGCCGTAATCGTACATAGGCGTCCCACAAGGGAGCCTCTCACAATTAAAATAATTTCTAATTATATTTGTTGAATTTTGATCTATTAAAACAAGAACGTAGTAGCCGGTAATTGAATTATAATTCGTCTCAATTACTACCTAACTGTTGTAGATCATAACAAATTTGAATATAAACGTTGCATTTGAAACTTTATTATATGCCAGAAAGTGAAATTTTTTTTAAATTGCGTCATATTTTGGTCATTATATACGATATTCTAAAGGAATTTTGTTTAACAAATAAACAAAGGTGTTTACCCGTCCTTTTTTACATTTTATTGCTTTATCATATCTTATATCTGCCCCTTCGGTCTTGTTTAGACAAGTTTTTACCACCGTACAATACAAATACCTCTTCCTAGAGTTATTTGTGCGATGTTTACCTTTTTTTAGAATGGGACGAACTGTAAATAATTGCCCATTGAGAGACTACTAGTTTTTGTACATACCATCATATACAGAGTGACCCAGGCGTCAAATCTTTTTACTTATATTTTAAGACCGAAAGTCAAATCTTGTCTTATATTTCCAAAAAAACACAATTTTCTCATTAAAATAAATATTGATTTTAGGTATAGAAAGTTATTAGTAATACAAGATTAAACAACTATTACACAGTACTTCACAGCAAGCTATCGATTGCGAACTAACTAAATCGTTACTAATTACTAATTTTGGAAAGTTCTTTTTAAGATCAAAAAAGGTAAAACTAAAACCTAAACTATCATTTGAGATTAAACGGGAAGTTCTAAATAATGTTGCCTATTCTAAACAAGAAAAATTTATTTATAAGTTTTATAACACCTCTAATTAAATTTGGACGAAAAGAATATTTCTGTATGCTGTAGGTAATTTTCTCAGACATTAAACGGGAAGTTCTAAGTTCTCTTCTTCTCTCAGGAAAATACGTAAATAAAATGACTTTTTAAGTCAAAAAAAGTCAAAAGGACAAGTTATTCCAAAAAAGGACTGTCCTTTTCAAAAAAGAACAGGTGGCAACCCTAGGTATTTCTGGAATGGAAATTTAATGGCAAATCTACCACTTTAGTTTGAAAATATGTTTCGGCCACCTATGATTACAAAAATATCTAAAATGTGCTTTACCATTGCCTCCATATTCTAAAAAAAATTGAAAGAAAAGTCACCAACCACAAACCTAATATAGAACTGTTTCGGAAGCCTGAGTCACCCTGTAAATATTCAAAAGTAACTGAAAGTTTATATAGAAGTAACTGAAAGTTTAAATTGAATATCGACGTTGGAGCGATTTTCGAAAACTACCTACTAACGTTTCAACATAAGTATATGTGGGATATTAATTATATTATTATATTAGACCTTATAACAAAACTCATCTAACGAAAAAGTGTTAATGTAGTATATTCATATGGAGTAAAAAATTTACTAATTACTTTACTTTTACTTTACTAATTAAATTCGTTCCAAAAAACGATACGCCACTGGCCATTAGAACAATCCGAATGCGCTTAGTTGCCGGGGTCGGAAATTTTAGACTTCTCTGTCTCTTCTGTCTTTGTTTGACACATTGGAATGTTTGATACACTACCAACGAGTATTTATGAATGAGATGTTCGGTCTCTTTATAATGTCTTTGGTCGAAATCTTCCCTGGCTCGTTGAATAGACATTACTTGTATTAGAAATCCTTATAACTTTATGTTATAACTACTATTTACATATATAAAAACTTTTTTGTGAAAGCTTTTCGAAATTGACAGTTTTTGATATTTATTTGAGAAATGACATTCTTTTAGGCACTAGTATCTGAAAGTGACATTAGTGCCTAAAAGTAAAAAATGAATCGTTAGAAACAATGTAAATATGCGTTCTATTTCCAGTTTTGTAAATACTTTTGATTTCTTTGCCTGATATCCGGAAGCTTTTCTTTTTAAAAATGCCATAAGGTTTATGAATTTGCTAATATCTACGTTTCTGTTCAGGTAAATCATGGTGCGGAGAGCATCGAATATTTACTCCACAGAATTGACGGCTTTAAGGTAGTGGATAACTTCAGGAAATAGGCTAGCAATACATTTTCTGTGAAATTCTCAACATGTTTTTCTTTGACTCAGGTTTCAAAGTTCTTGTAGGTGGTCTCGTATAAGTTTTTCGACTTCTCGGGCACTAACGTGGATAGCGCAGTTTCAGCAGCTTATTGAATATCCAAAGACTCGTCATTATCACTCATTTTTTCACAAAACTTTGTAGGAAATACGGCGACGTTTGAAACTGACCGAATTTTGTCATTAAACAATGCATAAATAATGCCTTAGAAACCGATTACCAGAACATTTTAAAAAAGGTTTAAAAATAAATAATAATAATAGCATGAAAATTTCAAATTATCCGCTTTCACAAAAAATCTTGTATGAAATTCGTTGCGAAAATAGTGTTTTAAGCACTCGAATTTTGCGTTCCGTGCTTAAAATACATTTACTTCGCAACTTTTTACATAAATAGCTATTATTTTATTGCTTGCAGTGTTTGTTTGTAGTTGTTTTTAAATGTGTTTTTCACCAATTTTTTTGTGTGTTTTAGGAGGATGGGGCTGGCTAGTTTGCGGCGCAGCTTTTCTAGCGCATCTTCTAACATCTGGACTTCAACTGGCCTTTGGATTGCTCTACCTCTACACCATGAAATTCCTGATAAAAAGCAAAACGGAAAGTGAAAAAGAATTCTACATTATGGCAACAGGTAACAAAAATACTATAGTTTTAGTTTTACATGAAGAGATGAAAGTAATAGATATTAGCGTTAAAAGTTCAGTAAACCACACAACTTTTACAAGACTTAGACTATCCAACTAAAGAATGTTTATTAAAATAATACTTAAATATTAAATGGTTTAAACTTTATTAGACTTGAAAATTTCTTAATTCCCAACCTTAACACCTTCAGAATTGTATATTTTTACAGTAAAATACATTACATTTTTCAAAAAGAATCACAATTTTGTCAAAAGAGTTGAAGAATTTGGGAATTTACGGAGTTGTTAACCTTAACCGTGAATAACTTTTGAAGGAGTAGGTTTATCGAAAAATTGTAAAAGACTTTTTTTGTAAAGCGTTCAATACTGTACAGGGTGGGTCAAATTCGACGCTTTTAAATGCAAACACCCTTTTCTATAGGAGATAGACAAAAACTAATATCGGTGTCTGGAGCTCAATTTTTGTCAAAAACATGATGGTGAAAACCGCATATCGATATCTGTTACCGTTTCGAAGTTACGGGGTGTTTTTCAAAAATGTGAATTTTTAACAAATCGCTGTAACTTTTTTGCTATGGAAAATTTTGTATTTCTATGAAAACATTTCCAAAGCACCTTTTTACGTAGAATTTAATGGTTTATGTATATTTTTTTTTAAATTAATAATTTAAGAATTATCAACAGAAAATTTGATTTTTTATATGGGACACCCTGTATATTTTTAATTTATTGAAAATACTTTAAAATTACCTTTCCAAAAATATAACACACTTGATATTTTGCTCGATTCCTCTTTGAGATATAGAGTATATAAAAATTCGCCGGCTTTAAATAAGTAGGTAGGCTTTGAACGGCACCGGCTGTAATGCAAAAAAGCTGTGAGCATCAATTAAAACGAAAATAATATTTGCTATGAGAGATGCAGAATTTTATAACAATTTAAAATATATTTAACCAACATCAACACATTTAAACTATAATAATAATAATAATAATAATAATGTTTATTTATATACCTATTAAATTACAATGTTACAATAAATAAACATACAATAAACATAAATTTACCTCAGAAAAAATGAAACATTTTTTGTGCGAGGCATAGATTTACAACTATAATTTTAGAAAACACTTAAATTATAAATACACTCTAAAATTCAACAAACCGGTAATATGTAAAAAATACTTCCACAATAAAAACCTCCTGAATACCAAATACATCAACATACATATAAAAAATAGAAAATGAAACAGTAGTTTTTTTCCATTATTATCACACGTATTTGCTCTGCCTGATTGGAGAGAATGACACAACCATTTATGTCCTGATTTAACAAGTCACAATTCCAATTTGATATGAATCTAAATCCATTAGCCATTTCTTTGTTAAAAATTTAAATTGTTTTAAGTTCTTTAGAGTTTTATCTCAACAGGTAATTTCGAATAATACTTCGGCGCAAGATACTCAGAGCCTTTTTGTCCAATTACTTTCTTACATCTTAGTGTTAGTAGATTTTCCGACTTTTTTCTGGTGTCATATTGATGTGATAGTTCTGTTTTTTTAAACCTCCTCTCTGTATCAAAATAACTAATTTTAAAAAATGTAATTTGCGAATATCGAGAACATTACTATCAAAAAATAATCTATCAGATGGATACAGTAAGGGCTTTTTTAGTATAATTTTTAATATCCACCTTTGTAAAACAGTTAATTTTTTTAGATATTTATCAGCTACGCCTCCCCACCCAATTATTCCATAACAAATTTGTGATTGAAATAGTGCATAGTATATTGTTATGAGATGTCTTTCGTCTAGATATTCGCGTAAATATTTAAATGTGCCCACGAGTCTACGCAATTTATTTACTAGTGTTGTTATGTGGTTGTTCCAACGCAGATGACTATCAAACATAACACCCAAATAAGAAATACATTGTTTATATCTAATAACAATAAAAATAAATAGCAAACCAAGACATAAGATTTTGCTACAGGTGTTCGACATATCGACCGTCTTCTGTTATGGACAGACGGGGCAGTTTTTGAACATTTCTCGCGGAATTCATTAACTCAGTGGGTTTGAAAGATACCCTCTCATAACTGCTAAGTATTTCTAATTCTTGTCTAGATTATACGGAAGAATAAGGAACCTTTATTCTTCCGCAAATATATCCATAGGATTAGGTCCATGGGCACTAAGTCAGGCGGCCTCGACGGCCAACGGCTGGGGTCTTGGTTAGTTATTCAATTATTCTTGAAATTGGCTGCAAAAATTTGCTGATAACTTCAGCGTTCAGAGGCGGTGCGTCGTCTTGCTGGAAAAATATGTTTTCGAGTTCCATTAAGGGCATATCATCAATAAGGGGTCCAAAGTCCAAAGCCTACTAGTTAAAAGTGGCGAACTTTTAAAAATTCTGTATTTCGAAGGGGATCATAAGAAAATATCAAAGTGTGCTATATTTTTGGAAAGGTAATTTTAAATTCTTTTCAGTTAATTAAAAATATAGAGGGTGTCCCAAATAAAAAAATCAATTTTTCTGTTGATAACTCTTAAATTATTAATTTTAAAAAAATTATACTTAAATCATTAAATTCTACGTAAAAAGGTGCTTTGGAAATGTTTTCATAGAAATACAAAATTTTCCTTAGTAAAAAAGTTACAGCGATTTGTTAAAAATGCACATTTTTGAAAAACACCCCGTAACTCCGAAACGGTAACAGATATTGATGTGCGGTTTTCACCACCATGTTTTTGATGAAAATTGAGCTCCAGACACCGATATTAGTTTTCGTCTATCTCCTATAGAAAAGGGTGTTTCCATTTAAAAGCGTCGAATTTGACTCACCCTGTACAAGAATATGTAATTGTCATGGCTGCGAGAGAACAAGATCGAGAGAAAAAAATATTTGCAAAAAGTGGCAAATTCCCATGTAATTAAAATGGGAAATGAATCGTCTTTGGGGCAAGGTTTATTGTGAATATTAAGGGTTTACGATGGTCTATTATTTTTTTTAGACAATAAACTAAAAATTTAGAGGTCGTCGCGTATGTTTTGTTATACAATATGAAATAAAAATAATAAATTACGTAAAACAGGCACTTCAAAACAATGAAGTAGTATTGAAAAGGGTTGCTAAATGTAAGTTGTTTACCAACTTTTAGATGGAATGAAATATAACACTGGAACACGAACATCGTAAATTTAAAATTAACCCGTCGTTGGTTTTGGGTCACGATTATTGTGGCCATTTCTTGCCCTCATATTTCCTAGGAAATTCGCCGAAACGTGATATTTTCTTCCGTTTTTCCTGTTATAAAAGTATTTCTCGGTTCATTTAGCCCAGTATTGCCATAGATTTCCTTGTATAAATCCATTCAAATAGGAAAAAACTTCAGTATAAATAGAATAAATAAAATAACTCAAAAAAATGTTTCATTGACTTATTATTTACTTATTATTATTCACTTAAAACCGTATGATCGAATAAAATGGCGCCTAGTTGGCTTTGAAAAATGTCGATCGTTGACATTTCCCATATAATTTTATATACAGGGTTGCGCGCCTCATTCGCTTCGGTTGATCATACGAAAACGGAATGATGTAGAAACAAAATATTTTATGGGTATATGTAGAGAGGCAATGCGCGTAATTTAAAATTATTTTTAAATGTACAGGGTGTGTCAGAACTAAGATCCATACCAAAGTTATATTTTTTCTTATGGCACACCCGGTATTTTGTTTTATTTTTGGATTCTTGGACATAAAATAAGGCATTTATTATAAGGGTTTAATATGTCTAAAAGCTTTGGTTTTGAGATATTTAAAGAGATTTAAATATTCATGCTATAATAAAAAGGTTTGGTAACACCTTGTACATTAATTTTCAGAATTAATTCTGGTGCTGACTTTCAAGCCAGAGAAATAAACTTTACTAAAAAATTTGATTGCTTCCTTAAATGTATACAGGGGTATCAAAAATTGCTGATCTATTTTAACTATTTATTTTATACATTATGTCTTTCATCTCTCCCAGACTATGTGACACTATAACGATATCATCCGCAAAGCGTGGGTGGTTGAGTCTGTCTCCATCGATAACTATTCCTTTTTGTTGCCAAGCCAGTATTTTGAATGCATGCTCAAGAACAGCAATAAACAATTTTGGCGACATCGTATCGCCCTGCCTAACTCCCCTTTTTATTTTTATCTGGTTAGTTGTGGAATGTAGATTTACAGTTGTTGTAGCATTGTCATATATGTTTTTTTATTATGTTACAATATCGATGGTCGATTCTACATTCTTGTAGCGCTGTTATGATGGCCCGTAATTCTACCGTATCGAACGCTTTTTTAAAATCGACAAATATCAGTACTAGGGGACGATTGTATTCGATGGTTTTTTCTATTAAGGATTTTAAACACTGCAGATGATCGTTGGTACCAAATTCGGAACGGAAACCAGCTTGCTCTTTAGGTTGGTAGAAGTCCAATTTGGAATTTTGGAAATTTGGAACAAAATTGGAATTGGAGTTTTATACATATACGGACGAAAAGTTAGACCAGTTAAAAAAATATATAGGTGGCTTCTACAAAAACTCCCAGACACAAATTTTCATCCAAATATTGACATTACTTCAGAAATTATTTGGAAAAAATCGAAATATCTATTTATCCTGTATCTCCGAAACTAAGCATTTTAGGACATTTATTTATACGAACTTTTTTACTTATTTTTATCTGCAGAATATGCTGCCGGAGTTTCCGGAATATAGTTCGGACCACCCTGTATATAAAAAATATCTAACTGCCATAACGAAACCTTTACAGAAAACTTTTTTATTTCATGCTTACTTCATCCACGTTACCGTAGATGGAGCGAAGAAGGCTTAGGTAGGGTATATATAAATAAACAAAATACGAGTAGCGGAAAAAGGGGCCAAAAAACACTACATATATGCTTATTCTCTGCATTAAGTTCATCAGA